GACCAGAAACCATAAAATATATAGAAGGAAATATAGGCGAAACACTACATGACATACACCTCAGTAGCATCTTTAAAGACTCATCACCCAAGGCAATGATAGCGAAGGCAAAGATAAACAACTGGGACTTCATCAAATTAAAGAGCTTCTGTACAGCAAAAGAGGCAGTAACCAAAACAAAGAGACATCCCACCAACTGGGAGAAAATTTTTGCATACAACACTAATGATAAAGACTGATCACAAAAATCTACAAAGAACTGACAAGACTCAACAAAAACAAAGTAAATAACCCAGTCAAAAAATGGGCAGAAGAGCTAAAAAGAAAATTCTCCAAAGAGACATACTACAGGCAGGGCAGGGATGGGGGGGAGAAGGGAGTATCAAACCAAGGGGGATAGGAATTATATGGGGACTATAACTAAGATGAAATGCATACATTGTGCAAAAATGAAAAATTAACTAAAAAAAAAATAAATCTGTAAATAGCTTTTGGTGGAATGGCCATTTTGATAATGTTAATTCTTCCAATCCATGAGCAGGGGATGTCTTTCCATTTCTTTGTGTCTTCTTCTAATTCTTTTAACAGTATTTTATAGTTTTCTTTGTATAGGTCCTTTACCTCTTTTGTTAGGTTTATTTTCAAGTATTTGATTTTTTTTTGTTTCAATTATAAAAGGGATGGTTTTCTTGATTTCTTCTTCAGTTTCATTGTTTGCAGATAAGAAGGTTACTGATTTTTGTGTGTTGATTTTGTATCCTGCTACTTTACTGGACTGGTTGATTATTTTGATTAGATTTTCTGTGGAGTTTTTAGGGTCCTCTATGTATTTTATCATATCATCTGCAAATAGTGATAATTTGACTTCTTCTTTCCCTATTTGCATTCCTTGTATGTCTTTCTTTTGTAATATTGCTCTGGCTAGGACTTCCCATACTATATTGAAAAGCAGTGGTGATAGTGGACATCCATCCCTATCTTGTTCCAGATCTTTTTTTTTTTTTTTAAAGATTTATTTACTTATTTATACAAGCACTGGGTACAGTCAGAAGCGCGGAAGGGTGAGAGAATTCACCAGAGCCAGACCGGGGAACAGAACAGACAGACGGACGAAATACACTGCTGAGGGGAGTAGCAGGCGCGGCAGGAGAGGTCTGTCACACCGTGTGGGACCCTCACCAGTGGTCGGGATCGAACCGGTGCTGCAGAGGCTGCAGGCAGCTTCGCAGCCCAGCGCTCAACTGCTGAGCCACCAGGGAAGGCCCTTGTTCCAGATCTTAAGGGAAAGGCTTTTAGCTTTTCCCATTGAGATTGGCTATGGGCTTGTCATATATGGCCTTTATTATGTTAATGTATGTTCCCTCTCTCCTGAGAATTTCAAGGGGCTTCATCATAACAGATGTTGATATGATCAACATATTTTATGTTTCTTTTTGTTGATGTGTTGAATTATATTACTTGATTTTCAGATGTTGAACCATCTTTGTGCCCCTGGAATAAATCCCACTTGGTCATGTGAGTTATCTTCTTGATGCATTGTTGGATTCTGTTGGCTAGGATTTTATTGGGGATTTTTGCATCAGTGTTCATTAGAAAGATTGGACTGTTGTTTTCTTTTTTTGTGTTGTCCTTGTTCGGTTTTGGTATTAATGTGATGTTGGCTTCATAAAATGTATTTGGTAGTATTCCTTCCTTCTCAATTTTGAAAGAGTTTCTGTAGGATAGGCACTAATTTGTTTCTGAACATTTGGTAGAAATCATTTATGAAGCCGTCTGATCCTGGGCTTTTGTTTTGGGGGAGGGTTTTGATACTGTTTCAATTTCACTCTTCTTAAAGGTGTGTTTAGGTGTTCTATTTCTCCTTTATCTAGCTTTGGATGATTGTATAGTTCTAGGAATTTGTCTATCTCTTCTAGATTGTTGAACTTGTTTGCATATAACTGTTCATTCTAATCTCTGATTAACCGGTGCTACAGAGGCTGCAGGCTGCTTCGCAGCCCAGCATTCAACCGCTGCACTGCCAGGGGAGGCCCATGTCTTCTTGATGTATTGTCCTCTTAATCATAATATAGTGACCATCTGTGTCTCTTTACCTTTTTTTAGTTTGAAGTCTATTTTATCTGATATAAGTATAGCTGTTCCTACCTTTTTAGGTCTATTTGCTTGTAGGATTGTTTTCCATTCTTTTACTTTCAATCTATCTATGTTTATCTTTTGTAGTTAACTGTGTTTCCTAAAGACTACAAAAGGTTGGGTTCTGTTTTTCAATCCAGCCTGCTACCCTGTGTTTTTTTTAATTGGTTTACATTTAGAGTCAATGTTGATACACTGACATCCATATTTGCCATTTGATTGCTTTTTCCTGATTCTATTCCTTACCTTATTCTGTTCCTCCTATTCATTCCTCTGTTGGTTTTGGCTTTAGGGTTTCTTGCAATATTTTTTGGAGAGGAGGTTTAGTAGTAATGAATTTCTGGAGATTTTGTTTGTTTGAGAAGGTTTTTGTTTTTCCTTCATAGAGGAAGGAGAGCTTTGCAGGGTAGAGTATTCTTGGTTGACATTTGTTGAGTTGGAGTTTGTTAAATATGTCACTCCATTCACTTTTTGCCCATGGTGTTTCTTTAGAAAAGTCTGATGTCAGCCTGATTGGTTTTCCTTTATAGGTTATTTGCTTCTTTGCCCTTATCAGTTTCATTTATTTCCTTGTCTTGGACCTTTGGAAACTTTACATTATGTGTCTTGCTGTAGTTTTCCTTTCATGGTGGTAACTTGGTGTTCTTCTAGCTTCCTGTATATCTATTTTCACTTTCTTCTTTATGCTTGGGAAGTTCTCTTTAATTATTTCCTTGAATTCTTTCTCAGTTCCTTTGTCTCTCTCCTTACCTTCCGGGATTCCTATGACTTACATTTTCTTTCCTCATGGTTTCAGATAATTTTCAAAGTCTTTCTTCATTTTTTTTCCTTTGTACTTCTCTTTCCCTTTTTTTTTCAGTTTCTTTTTATGTCTGTATCTTTGTTCTTCCTTTTCTTCTTTTCTATTTTCATGGCTTTTCCCGAAATTCTTTAGCTCCTCCACTAATCTCTAGGTATTTTACAACTCCTCACTTTCTTCCTCAGTTCATTTGTTATACTTTTATCTCTTTCTGCATTTTCTCTTAGCTCTTTAATTGTTTTCATTATGTTTTTTTAAATTCTTTTATTAGGTGGAGATATTCTTCCATGTCCACATTATTGGATTCTGTAGGTTGACTTTCTTTTTGTGGTGTATTGTTTCCTGAAGGGCCTACTTGATCATTTGTAATTTTCTTCCTTCCCATTGTCAGCCTTCGACTTTGCTCTGTTTGTAGTGTCCCTGTACCACTGGTGCTGTGGGCATGACTTTTGATTTCTCTTGTTGAGGCATGAGTGTGTCTGCCTAGCGTCTGAGCCACTGTGGCTCGGTACACATTTGGAAGCTCTTCTATTATGGTAGGTGTTGTACTGAGCTGTGATTTTCTTCAGGAGCCCCTGCGTTTAGGCCCCCACTATGTAGGATAGGATCCAATATCTCAGCCTGCGATAGTCAAAAGTCTTGTGTGGAGCACTGCACCTCCAGATACACGCTGCGGTCAAGTACACTGGGAAGTGCCTGCAGGCTGGTCGAGATGTATTTTCTGTTCAACTGCTAGGTCCTTCAGGGCATGTCTCAGAATAATACTGGGATCAAAAACAATGAACAGTGACAGAGGGATAAGAGGAAAGAGGAGGATAACATGGAAATGTAAAAGAGATGAAGATGAGAGAAGAAAGGGCAAGATGGGGGAAGAGGAAAGAGGAAGAGGAAGAACAGTGAACAGAAAGAAAAGAGAAAGTAGTGACGGTAATGTTCAAGGGGAGGAAAAAAATAGAAGAATCAGGAAACAGAAATAGGAACGATGGAAAGGAACAACAGACAACCAACTGACCAATAAAACATACACACAGATAGGGGGAGAATTGCTTCTCAGGACTCTGATGGCTCCCAGTGAGCTAGTCGTTGCTGTTTTAGTCTGGTCTGCTGGGGAGCACCACAGGGCTGGGTAGGATAGTCTTCCCAGGGCCCTCTACTTCCCTTGTAGCATGTTGAGGGAGGATTAAAAACAAGAAACACAAAAGGGTGTGGATTAACTGCCACTCTGGGTGTGGAAGGATCAGCACTCTTTCTGGGCCCATGAGTTAATTGGTGGGTGATGAGGCTCCTGATGCCTCCTTCCACCTGATGGCTTGGGGTACCAAGAGGCCCTCAATGTAGGGACCAGTCCTATGAGGATCCCTTGGATGTCTTTCCCTTTGGTAAGTGTGACCAGTTAAATGGTCCCGCCAGTCTCCAGGAGGGGGGGAGGAGAGACACACCTCAACAAAGGGGCCCGCACTCAGCGCTGCCGTGTGTCTGCTCCAAGGCCCCGTTTGCCCACCTGTCTTTGTCAGGAGCTCTCAGATGTCTCAGGATTCTCCAGTATCTGATCTCCGTTTCACATTTTCTGCTTGATGATGTGGGCCAGCTTTGTGGGTGGGGGAAGGGAGAAGAATTCCGATGGTTTTCTATCTCTTCCCTTCCCCTGTGGTTCCAATTTTCCTCTATGTTTGGGTGAATCACCAGCATCACCCAGTTTCTCTAACTCATCTGGGTCCTCCCAGGAACTCGCCGTTATTTCTCCATATCAATTGTTTTTATGGGAGAACTTTATCCCAGCATCTCTTCACCACAATGTTGATCTCCTCTCTCTGAAATAGTCATTTTTTAAAAAACAAGTTAAGCTATCTTTTTTTTTTCCCATGTGAATCAACCTGTTTGAATGGTTGTAGGAGAAAGAGGAAACTACACTTTAATTCTCCCAGAATAAAGCACAAAAGCCTACATTTTATGTTGTGACATAATTTCAAGCACCAAATTTAATCAACTAAATTTAAATTCTCTCTTAAGAATACCAAGTCTGGTGGCAGGTAGATTCTGACTTTTCTTTCTTTTCACAATATTTCAGATTTTGAATATACCAACTTTGCATGAAAGTATGTCATATGATGCAACAATACCAGTGGAATGGTCTTCTGAATTTCATCAGTGGAATCCACAACAGGTCTCTGATAGAATATTTTTCATTGATGCTTCTAATCTGAATTTTACTACCATTCCCTTGGAGATCTTAATATTAAAAGAATTGGAAGAAGTGCATCTGGAAAATAACCAGATTGAAGAAATTCCCCAGGGTATTCAGCATTTAAAGAATATTAGAATCCTGTATCTCAACAAGAACAAGCTGAGGAAGCTGTGTCCGGAGCTGGGGAAGCTGAGATGCCTGGAGGGCTTGGACCTGAGCCACAATCCCCTCCAGCCTGCCTCCCTGCAGGTCCTCAGCAACATTCGTACCTTGAGGGAGCTCCGGCTCTACCACATTGACCTGAAGGAGCTCCCCAGTGTCCTCTGCAAATCCCTTCACCATCTCGAGCTGTTAGGACTAAGTGGAAACTACCTGAAAGCTCTGCCCCAGGAAATAGTAAACCAGACCAAGCTCAGGGAGATCTACCTGAAGCAAAACCAATTTGAAGTTTTCCCTCTGGAGCTCTGTCTCCTCTCCAACCTGGAGACCATTGACTTGGATGAGAACAAGCTGACTGTCATCCCAGAAGAGATGGGGGAGCTCAGAGGGCTGCAGAAGTTCTTTGTGGCTCGGAACAACCTTCCTTTTCTACCCGACTCTCTGTGCAGATGTAAGTGCCTGTCGGTGCTGGATTTCTCCTACAACCTCCTCCACTCCATTCCGCAGAGCTTCCTCGAGCTCACGGAGATGACGGAGATCTCCCTGAGTGGGAACCGCCTGCAGAAGCTGCCGCGCTTCATGGGCAGGTGGACCTCGCTGCGCCTGCTCTACCTGCATGACAACAGTCTGCAGAAACTGCCGCGCTCCTTCCGGCGGCTGTGCAACCTGCGCTTCCTGGATCTCAGTCAGAACCTGCTGGAGCGCTGTCCAGACCTGATCTGTACTCTGAAGAACCTGGAGGTCTTGGCTCTGGATGATAACAAACTGTGCCAGGTACTGCTTCCCTCCTTGGTTGTCACTGCGCTCCCCTGCAGGGCCTTTCCCGCCCTAAGTGGGTGTGATTCTGTGTCTAAACATCAGTAAATTTGAACTGGCTTTACAGGCTAAGATGCAGGGTTAGCAAATATATCCAACAAGGTGATAATTTATATTACTTCCCCCACTAAAATACCAATAATGATCATAAATAGTAGCTAATGTTTATTTAGATTATGTGTCAGCCACAGGGCTGTTTTACATGGACTGTCTCATTGAAACCTCATGTAGAGGAGGAAAAATTCCCCTTCGGCCTCTTTGGGTCTCTGACTGGACCTAAGAATTCAACTGACATCAGACAAACAGGAGAAATCATGTGAATTTTAATGAATTTTTACATATACATGGGCTCCTTGGGTAAAAAATGGAGAGCTGAAGAAGTCACCAGAGCAGGAAGCTTTTGTACCTTTTAGACAAAGAAACAATATATTTGTGAAGAATCGACAAGACAAAGGGCTTTGGGCTAGAGGATTAATACATGATGGAGAGAGAGGTAACTAGGAATCTGTGAATTCATTGAACAGGGTTTCTTTGTAAAGCCTTGTTGGCCCAAATTCCCTGCATCTGGTCAAAAAACTGTCTTCTACCCTGCTGACACAAGGGAGCATGTCCTCACAAGGGAGATGTCCCTCCTGCTTTCAGGAGAACAAAGCAGAGTTGGTGTGCTTCTTGCACTGACTTTAATTCAAAACACTCAGTATGCCAAAGTGGCATAATTTTGGGTAACATTCTGAACACCTCACTCACACCTTTCCAACGTGGTTAATATTGTCTTCAATGATATATGAGGAAAATGGAACCCAGGGAGCTTAACTAACTTGTCATAACCACAAGCCTGTAAATTATAGAGCCCAGTTCCTTCTTAGAGCTGCTGGGATTCAGGGTCTTTATTATTTTTTTTAATAATTAATTTTTAAAATTTTTTGCATCATTATTCATTTTTAAACAATATTTGCTTCCCTCCACCCCCCTCAGGTGTAGTCCCCGTAGAGTTTCCTTCACCAATGCACCTGTGCACCATCACCTCAGTCCCCTGTGCTCCTCCCTCTCTCCCTCTGATCCCTCTCCTGCCTCCTCCCCTGTAGTATGTCTCTGATTTGTAATTGTCTGTTTTTGCTTTGTTGTGTTTTGTACTGTTACTATTTTTTTACACTGATGTCTTATTTGGTTCCCCTATATTCCTGCTATAAGTGAAACCATCTGACATTTTTCTTTTTCTTCTGGCTTATTTCACTGAGCATAATTCCTTCTAACTCTCCTACATTGCTGGTGGGAATGCAAACTGATCCAACCACTATGGAAAGCTGTCTGGAGTTTCCTCAGTCTACTAAAAATGGAGCTACCATATGACCTGGCAATTCCACTCCTGGGGATCTACCCAAAGGACAAAAAAACATTGATTCAAAATACCACCTGTATCCCTATGTCTATTGCAGCACTATTTACAATAGGTAAAACCTGGAAACAACCCAAATGCCCAAAAATAGGTGACTGGATCAAGAAGATGTGATATATATACACAATGGAATATTATTCAGCAATCAAAAAAGATAAACTCATGCCATTTGCAGCAACATGGATGGAGCTAGAAGGAATTATGTTCAGTGAAATAAGTCAGGGTCTTTATTCTTAACAAAGATCCCCTAACAAGTTTTCTTAAACAACAGCTTTTTTTTTTTCTGCTACGTACAACTTAATGTTCTGTTCCTGGGAAACTACAAAAGCCAGATTTTTCTCTGGGGACACTGTCACATGTGTGCAGAGTAGGATATTCAAAAACGTTCATGATAGGGTTGTTGATAATCAGGTCTATGGGAGACCATCTAAATGTCAGTCAGTAGAGGAATGAGTAAATTGTGCTATGTTCATGAACTAGAAAACTATATAATAATTTAAGTGAACTGGATCAATATGTGCTAAAGTAGACAGACCTCAAAATTGTGGTGTTTAGAGGGGTCAAAACTTGGGGGGGGTGACTTGCCATTTTAGAACGGGGATCTTTACCTTTGCATCTGTCACCACTGAGACTTCTTGGAACTGGAAAAGGGCTGCCCCACAGTCAGAGGTGAGTTGAAAAGCCCCCACATGCCGGGCCCTGTCTGGCCCCCAGATGGAACCAGAGGGGAATCCAGCCACTGCCAGGGCAGACCACGGGCACAGGGAAGTGCTCTTCTGACTCGCCATTTTAGAATAGGGATCTTTGCCTCCAGAACCCATGGAGACTGTGTGGAATTGGGAAAGGGCTGCCCCCACAGCCAGAGGTGAGCTGAAGACCCCTGCAAGCCAGGACCTGCCAGGAAGGGAGTCGGAGCCCAGAGGGGGATCCAGCGATTTGGAGACGCTGGGATATCCAGCCACTCCACCTCCAGGGTAGTCTGTGGGACCTCATGACACACCTTTGGAATTAAACTAATACAGAAGGAGGAGATATTCTGTGACAGCGACCATTAACATAGTCATAGTACCACTGCTCTACTGGACTTCTGGCATAACAGTATTTGACTCAATTGGACCACCAGTTTCAAACATCCCAGAAAAAGCACACCAAAAAGATGCCAGCCAGTACCAGTGACACAGTGTTCCAATGCATTGGACAAATTAGAAAACAAGCAGCAGGGAGAAGAAAAACTACAAGCAACGAAGCAAATCCTTGGGAAAAGACACATCACAAAAAGAAAATCACCTACTAGATTGCAACAACAGTGACTTGGAAGAACTTCTGAGTCTTCCAGAAAGAGAATTTAAAATTGCCATGATTAAAAAACTGGCAGAAGTCATAAAGGAAAACAATCATAAGGGGGAAAAAATCAACAATCAGAAGAATGAAATTGAGTCCTTAAAGAGGAAAATGAAAGAAATGCAGTAGATCAAAGCATTAATGGAGGACCTAAAGAACTCTGGGAAAAGCAGTGATAGCAGAATAGACGAAACAGAAGAACAAATAAGTACTCTCGAAGACAGAAATAAAAAGAACCAAACAGAAAAGGAAAGAGAAGTACAAATGAAAAAGAATGAAGAAAGACTTTGGGGACTATCTGACTCCATGAGGAAAGGAAGGAGAGGAGAGAGACATAGGAACAGAGAAAATATTCAAGGAAATAATTAAAGACAACTTCCCAAACATGAAGAAGGAGTTGAAAATAGACATATAAGAAGCAAGAAGAACACCAAACTTCCATGATGAAAGGAAAAATACAGCAAGACACTAATAGTAAAGCTCCAAACAATCCAAAACAAGGAAAAAATAATGAAGCTGACTAGAGGGGAGAAACAGATAACATACAAAGGAAAACTAATCAGGCTGACATCAGACTTCTCTGAAGAAACACTACGGGCAAGGAGAAAGTGGAGGGACATAGTCAACAAACTCCAAGACAACAAATGCCAACCAAAAATCCTCTATCCCACAAAGCTTACCTTCCTCTATGAAGAAAGAATAAGGACCTTCCCAGACAAACAGAAACTCCAGAATTTCATTATGACTGAACCCCCACTCCAAAAAATACTACAAGGAGTCTGAAAACCAGAACCAACAGAGGGATGAATAAGAATGAAACAAGACAAAAAAAAATTTTTTAATTGAAAAAAATAAATAAAACCAGAAAAAAGACAAACAAAATGACAAATACAGATGCTAACATATCAATATTAACTCTAAATGTAAACAGACTAAACTCTTCAATAAAAAGACACAGAGTCACAGGCTGGATTAAGAAACAAAACCCCACCTTTGGCTGTCTCCAGGAAAATGACTTAATTACAAAAGATAAAAATAGACTGAAAGTAAAAGGATGGAACAATCCTACAAGCAAATGGACCAAAAAAGAAGGCAGGAACAGCTATACTAATATCAGATAAAGCAGATTTCAAACTCAAAAAGGTAAAAAGAGACCCAGATAGTCACTACATTATGATTCAGGGGACAATACTTCAAGAAGAAATAACACTCATTAACATATACTCACCAAATGAAGGCACACCAAAATACATCAGACAACTATTATCATCCTGAAAACAGATATCAGAGAAAACACGTATGTAGTAGGAGACTTCAGCACACCACTATCAACAATGGATAGATCAATGAGACAAAAAATAAGTAAGGATATTAAAGCTCTAAATAAGGATCTAGAGCTCATGGGCTTAAACAATCATCTATAGCACACTAAACCCAAAAAAATCTGAGTACACATTTTTCTCAAGCACACACAGATCATTCTCCAGGATCAATAACAAACTGGGACACAAGACAAACATCAGCAGACACACCAAGATTGAAATTATACCAACTATCTTCTCTGATCATGAAGGCATCAAACTAGAAATAAACCATTAAAAGAAGGGAAGGAACCCTTCTACCTCCTGGAGACTGAAACCCACACTACCGGAACACCACAGGACTAACTAGAACATCAAAGAAGAAATTAAAAAATACTTTGAATTCAACGACAAGGAGCACATCAATTTCCTAAATGTATGGGATGAAACAAAAGCAGTAACATGAGGAAAATATACAGCAATAGAGGCTCACATCAAAAAACAAGAAAGAACTCAAAGAAACAACATAATCTCACAGCTCAAAGAACTAGAAAAAGAACAACAAAAAAACCCTAAAACCAGTAGAAGAAAGAAAATAATAAAAATCAAATCAGAAATAAATGAAATCGAAACTTAAAAAAAATCCAAAAGATCAATGAAACCAAAAGGTGGTTCTTCGAAAAAATAAACAAAATAGACAAACCCCTAGCCAGGCACACAAAGGAAAAAAGGGAGAAAGCACAAATAAATAGGATCACAAATGAAAGAGGAGAAATCACAACAGACACAGCAGTAATCAAACAATAATCAGAAGCTACTATGAACAGTTATAGGCAAACAAGTTAAATAATCTAGAAGAGATGGACAAATTCCTACAACTTTACGGTCACCCAAAGCTAGATAAAGAAGAAATAGAACAC